GCACAAACACAGGTTTCTTGGAAACGTCAAAAATTGGAAAATCCCCGCGCATAATTTATTCACTTCTATACATCCTCTGACAACGTTCCAACTCAAACGGCTCTCACATAGCTCAAACCATTTAAAGGCCAATCAAGATATTTATTAATTTCCTTCTTTCTGTTTACTCCGCAGCTTTAGTAGAAGTGTTCCTACGCTTTCTCCAAAAGGAATACAGATGGAGTACTACTAACATTGAAAGAATATCGAACCAGTTAGACAAAGATGACGTAACAACTGTAAATTTGCTTGCAAAGTGTTGGAGTCATGTCCAACACTTCTTTCCCGGTGGCATGAGCAGAATGATAGGGAAAGAGCTAAGAGAACGAGGGATGCTAACTCGAACAATTTGGCCTTCACAGGCCACCTAAGCTGATGGCAAACTGCTCAGTTTAAACGTATGTGTACATTTATATCTGCATATGTAGGAAAACACCTGCTTCTTCATAGGTTGCTTTACAAGCCGAGGAGACACAAATGACCAGAACAGAACTAAGGATGCTTCTCAATGTATAATAATATTAAGAGTTAACCAACCCTAAAAGCAGAGCTCCAATTAGTTTATTCAAGAGATTATAAACAGTTTAACTTTGCTTGACCCTTTAACTCCCATACAATTCATTTGATGTTAGTTTAGAGAATTTGGAATTGGATCGACCAATAATCCCCTAATTGAATTTTTCTTTATTCTCATTACTTGTCTGGCTGATATCCTACTGGGGGTGTAAGGAGAAATTCTGTCTAGATCACTAGTGGGACTTACAGGGTTAACTTTGCTCCCTTCTGATGGTAGCAAGTGTTCAGGTCAACACTTCTCAGCATAATGACCCTCTGCAAACTTAGATGACAGAAAAAAAGGAAGATTTCTGAAAATAAAACTTGTACTCATTTGTGCAGGGTATTAATACTTTACTTTGTTGTTAAACATGATATCACATTGACTTTCATCGCCAATGTAGCAGATTCAACAGCAGATGTTTTCTTAGGCAATTTATGATAAACTGACACCAAAAAAGACCGGAAGAGACTTATGGGCTATTTAATAACAAAATATTATTGCCATTCCAAAATTTTGTAACCATGTCCGCCAAAACACGAGTGTTTTAAAAAACTGGACTGGACAAAAAGCAAGATCATCATTGTCCAAATTTACTGCATTGATTTGTTGAGTCCCTTGATCAGCAGAATCCATTATCTTTGAGTTTCCCAACAAGATCATCTACTGTCTCAACTTTAATTCCAGCCTCCCTGACAGGTGGGTCTTCAACTTTTAGTGTCTCCACTCTGGGTGAGACATCTACACCTAAGTCACTTGGAGACTTCTTATCAATCTTCTTCTTTTTGGCTTTCTGTGAGATACAAAACATACAAGAAACAGTTAAGACACTTATCTTGGCTCTATTCCCTTAGTACTCCTCAGAGTGATTAACGATTGAGTTTCCACGGCAACCAGGTGGACAATCAGACATAGTTTGAAGCTACACTGGTTTGCAGATTTAATGAATGTAACCGAAGAAGTTACAATTCATAGACCCAACGTTTCGACACTCCTGTCTAGTGCCTTCATCAGGGGCACTAGACAGGAGTGTCGAAACGTTGGGTCTATGAATTGTAACTTCTTCGGTTACATTCATTAAATCTGCAAACCAGTGTAGCTTCAAACTATGTCTGATTGAGTTTCCATTTTAACCAAACTCAAAGCAATCAGAACAACCAATCTGAGCAATGAAATGTAACAAAAAGGAGCCACAGGGAGCTCAAATTAAAAGAAAAAAAGAAATGGCCCTAAGTGCAAGGGAATGCAAGTAATCAAACTGTAATTGGTTTCAGTTTTGAATCTGACTAGTTCAATAGGGTGAGGAGAATCACTAGACCAAAGCAATCTCTAACTTTTAACATCTAAAATTGAAAGTAGCTCCAAAGTCAAACAGCCCCATAACAACAAATTTCCCATGAGAAAATGCAAAAATTATGTTTCTTTTTAGTAGATAAACTGTTCTGTTAGGTATACCACCCAGTTTAACATGGCTTAAAGAGACTAGGTTAGCTCTGTTCCCCCCCCTAAATTATTAAAATGACTAAAATTCAAAGCCCTAGTTCTATTCATATTTTTCACTATTAACTTTTCCCACCACAAGTAAAAAAGATAAGACAATAACACAATATTCAATATTGCAATATTACAAACCATAATATTTGGAAGTGTTGCATAGCGAGGTTCATTCAGCCTGAAGAGGTAAAGCAGGTAACAATTACATGCATATCAAAAGGCATTGTGGACACTGGCCACTGCCACCAGACCTAAATAGTATAAGCAACAGTGACCATAATCTGTGCTAACATTCCAAAGTTGATCAGTTTTCTCACCTTCCTGAAATTTCTGGGGAACAAACATGCACTGACAACAGCCTAACTTGTAGCTTTGTCACCTAGTTGCTTAATAGGTCCAACTAGTGTCTGAGAGGTTTTATAACCCCAAATTCTTATTAAGACTTTACATAGTTCTGCAATAACACTTTCCCTGCAGTTCAGTCATGAGGGTCAAGTTTTCACTCATCACCAAAGACATTTTTGTTTTATCATGGAACTTATGAGCCAATAACTACCTTAAATCTGCTGTGATGACACATGGCATCTTCACATCAATCATCTCTAAGCCACCATCAATTTCACGTGTCACTGCTAACTTGTCATCTTTCATTTCTAGTTTGGAAGCAAATGTTGCCTGCAATGACCATCAAAGTATCATAAGAAGACCTTCAGCGAGGACGTAACTTTTAAACCCTATGTGTGACTAACATATAATATCTCCTAACAGTATCACTGCTGAATCAAACATTAAGGTAATGAGAGTAAATTACATGATCCTCAACCAAAAATGCTCTCAATAATTAAACAATATCTCTTTGTTGGACAAGGAAATATGTATCGAGAAAAATGTTGAGAATATGCTTCCCATTGTCAGGGAAACCTGGTCCCATGAATAGATGCAATTGGAAAACTGACAAAAGCATCTAAACATTTTAAAATGTGCAACTAAAACCCATGATGAAATAATTCTGACTTGGAGGATGGTAGCATTTATCCAGTATTAAGTTTTATATCATTTATTACCTGAGGCCATGAAAGCAATGCAGACAACATTTGCCCAGTCTGATTACAATCATCATCAATTGCCTATAGCACAAAGATGGGAAAAGTATTAAAAAAAAAAACATTTTTTCATAGTGTAGTATTTCCTTAGAAACATAGTCAAATATCAAGCAAACAGCAATAAACATTTCACCTCTGTTATGAATTGACCCTTCTGTACTTTCCATCAAGTGAGTTTTGGAAAGACTGTTTTGTCCTTTCCTTTCAATAACCTAAAATTAAACAACAAGCACCTAATACCTGTTTTCCCAAGATGATCAGATTTGGGTTCTCTTGTTCTGTGATCTTTGCAAAAATTTTGGCTACTGCAAGAGGCTGTAGGCCTTCATATTCTTTGTCATTTAACAAAACATGGATACCACGATCAGCTCCCATAGCAAGGGCTGTGCGAAGAGTTTCCTTTGGAGTTCAAGTGAAATTGCTCATGTTAGTTTGTTGTTGCACACAGTTAAGAGTTAATATACAAATAAAATTCAATCAGCTAAAATATTATATATTTCAAAAAGTACCATTCTGCACAATAACTGAGTTATTACCTCGCTTTTAGCTGGTCCACAGCTCACAGCAACAATTTCAGAAGCTATACCTTTCTCTTTCAGTTTTACAGCCTAAAAATTGACAAAATGGAAAAAGTTAACTTTTCTTCTGAACAAAACAAATAAGACAGAGTGCTCATTTTCCCATGATATCATGGTAATCATTATCTATGGGATACTTTCAAACAATATGGTGTCAATAGTTTTTTTCATGATACACTTCAGAAAATTGTCTCTTTAAATTCTGAATTTCCCTCCAATGAGGGGGGTTTTAACCCTTAAATCCCAGAGGAGATTAACATGTAACTTCTACCTATAATATCTATACATTATCCAACAGAAGGCTACGAGTATACTTGAACTTATCAGGCAGAGGTTGTTATCTTCATCTAACATCAAATTCTCATAACTTATTTACAAGGAAATGTGTCGCAACTAAAGGGGAGTATTAACAATCAGTTTTTGAGTAAAAAGACTAAGGGTCAAGTCATATAACAAAGGCAAGATCCTTTAAGCAAACAAGCCAACAGCAACTTGTACCACAAACCAAGTGAACGAATGTTTCGTTTTTTTTCCTGTTTATCTCTTCTTTTTGGTGTGGAGAAAAGAACTTAATCAAGCTTACTGTCACCTCTTACTAACATTAATACAAATTATTACAAATGTCAATTATTGATTCACAGAGTGAGTTATCTTTAAGATACCACGTAAAAGAGTAAAGGTCATTACAAATAATTATATTCTTCGCCTAAGAAAAAAATATCCAAACATCTTCAGAAAATTGAGGGAAAATTCGCGATAATTGCATCTCGAAATGCCGAGAGTGGGAGGGAATAAAATATTAAATGATAATATATATTTATATAAAGGTTTCTCACCTCTTCAACTGCGATCTCATCGAAAGGGTTCATACTGTGTTTGACCCCATCAGTTACTACGCCGGTTTTATCGGGTTTTACCCGTATCTACAGGAGATAAAGAAAATTTTAGACTGCAAAATTTTACTTTTAATACTTTATTGCAGTTTCAAGTAAATTTTACAAACCTTTACGGCGTAATCTATGACACGTTTACAGCCGACTAAAACTCTAAGGGACGCCATTTTTGATATTGCGGACGAAAGAAAGTTACAAGCGCATGATTTATAAAAAAAACCGCTGCACTGAGATCGTGCGAAAACAAACATGGCATCCTAACAACCATATATTGACAGTAAAGTATTCTGTAAAATAGTTTCCACATATTTCCGATCTGTGTTTCAAAATGCCACCGAAAAAGAAAAAGGGCAAGGGAAAGAAAAAAAAGAAGAAGGATGGTATGATGATAAAAGCTATTTTCAGGGAAGTCCTTGGTCTCCATTTAGCAGGTTCGAAAACCATTCGTCTTCCATTCTTCTTCCTCCACAGAGAAGACCGAACTGACGATTGAGGATAAGTACAAGAGAACCATGGAAGAGATTGAGTGTCTGAAGGATGAACTTGGTAAGGAGGAGAAAATGAAGTGGTACATAGATCCATATATGAATACTTGTCATTATGTATAGCTGGGTGTTAAAATATTCGTAGAATATATACCTAGTAATATAATTCTCAAAAATTGTAACGACCACAAAAGCCACAATTGAAATAATTTAGTTATTGTAAATAATAAGTGACAGTCTAATACTGCATACACTGTAGCGTGTGAGGATTGAAGAATTACTGAAATAATAGTTCATTTTGTTCATTAGATCTCAGAAAGAATACGCAGTACTATCCAGTATACTTTTTAAAATTTTTCTTTAGCTAGGTGTGTGGTTTATTCGATTTTCAGGTAACTTGTGAGTTAAATTTAAGCTGTTAAGCAGCTCTTATGAGTATTAGTGAACACTTTATATTTTTTTAAGGATGCATTTTGATATTTATTAATTTGAGGAGCACAATTTAGCCATCATATTAGAAAAAGTGCTATGTGAGAAAAAAATTATCATCATTATTATAAATAATACAGCTGCAAGATCTGAAATTGCACGAAGGTCCAAGGACACTGCAGATCGTATGAAAGAAAGAATGAGAGAAGCAAAGGAGGAAGTTGAAACTGAGCAGCAAAATAAACTGGACATTTCTTCAGGTAAATTGAGCTCAGAATTGACAATTATAAAATCAAGATGCTTGTGTTGAAGCTTCAGAGTGAAGCTAGTCACTAAACCAAAGCAAATAGGTGACCTAACAACCAAGCAAGCGGCAGACATAAGCTCTGAGAATTAACCCTCGCTAACTCTGTACTTATCTCTCTGAGCCTTTGGCCAACTTCTGCTGCTTAACCCTAAATATTTGAAAGTCGAAACTTGGCTACATTGAAGGCCTTTTTTATATTTTTAAGTGTAAGTTGAACCTTCACTCCCTAAAATCAAATTGTGCTAATTCTCCACACTGTTTTCTATAAATTTTTATTACAATGACAAGGAGAAAATGTGTAACAATCAAGAACTTCTGAAGCTGATTTTAATTTCCTTTTTTTCTCATGACCTTACTGTTTGATTCAGTGACAATACTGTGGGGAGAAATTAAATCATAGTCACTCTTATGTGTTAATGGTTAAGGGGCCAATTCACAAAGGCATGGTGTGGTCTAAGAAACCTAAAATAATGTTATGATGACAATTATTACATAACAAAACAATATTTAATATATTGGTAAATTGGAAACATTACTTTTCAGACCTTACTCGTCAATACAAAACAATGCAGTCTGAGATGGCTCTTAGGATTCACATGTTGGAGCAGACTGTGAATAAGCTGAGGGAGCAGTTGGGTGAGCATTGATTTCAACATGGATGTATATTGAACAACAACCAGTTAATAATGGTAAAATGATAATAGGACTGAGTGGAGTATAATTCAGTCTGTAACCATGAGTGATGAACCAAATCAGACAACCACAAAACAGGGGTTTGATTTGTTAATTGCAAGTATGATCACAGACAGAATTGGACAACACAAAGTCCTGTTACCTATTAATAAAAACTATGACAAAATTTGAGAAAGAAACTAAACATCGGTTATATGTGACAACAGCTCACACATGACAAAGGCATGACATGTTAAGTACCCCTTTAACTGTCCTATTATGCTGTTCAATTACAAGAATGATGCATACACTGTCTTATTAGTGCTCAAATTGGTCTGGTGATAACCAATCACATTCAAGAATTTTGATTAACTAAGTAAAGAGCACATACAGACAGTCTAAGCTGCAGGTACTGTAGTAGAGAATAGTAACCACTGAAAAAGACTTGTATACTCTAAAATAAGGCACATTTCAAATTCCATAGAGCCTATCTGCTTGATTTAAGAGTAATCTGCAATTGTCAAGTCTGAAAAACATTTGGCACATGGTAGATTTGAATTTGATAGATTCTCGGAATCAACTTGAAATAAGATGCCATTATTCTCTTAGATCCATATGATTTTTGATTGATTTGAGTAGATTATATTTGATTTGATAGATTTAGCAAATCTAATTTTCACAGCCGAGGTTTTACTTTTTGTGGTTAATCATTTCAACTCCAAACTGCATGTTGTCTGACTTATCAAGGAGGCAGAAATTAGTGATCTGTTAGATAATGCTCTAGTTAATCCATACTTTATATTTATAGCCTCTACAGAAGAAGAACTGAAGAAGACCAGGAAAGAGAGAGATGATATCAGGCGGGAAAAAGATGAAATCATTGCTGAACTCCAGTTTAAAATTGATCACATGGAATCTGCCTATGAAAGTGTGCTTCATGTATGTATTAGAGTAAAGGAATATCTTTCAAGAGAAATAAGACAGCAGTGTTGAGGAGACACTTAAATTTACGCAGGAATGAAACCTCTCAGATTTGAGTAAGGCATTAATATATAGATTTAGCCAAGCCTAAAAGCAGAGCTCGCATTTTTTTTCCTGCACGTCTCAAGGGCACAACACCTTGCCCTGGCCAGGTCTAGAACCCAGGTCGTCCAACTCGGAGCCCAGTGCACTGACCACTGGACTACTGAATAAAGCCGTGGCGTTGGCGTGCCCGCAGAACAGTTGACCACACATGTTAAAAGTAGCACCTTGTATGGTCATACAGTCATACATCCAAATTTTTTCAGCTTGATGGGTTACTACTATTTTGTATAATTATGGGGCTCCGCTCTGTGAGCTACCCTATTACAAAGCCACATGTGTATGTAGCTGCACTGTGAAAAAATTTTATTGATTCCCCTTGTTTCCTGTAAAGGACTTGCTGTAGATCTCACAATACAGTCAAACTACATGGCTATGTACAATAGTACAAACAACACAAGAATGGTGTTTACAGTGAATGCTATGTGGTGTACTTATTCATTTCTTTTAACACATTCTTCACAGGATGCTTTTGATAGAATGGCTGTTAAAGTTGAGGATGCCAGGGCACGATGGGAGATGGAATCATCAGAGATACAGGAGAAAAATAAACAGCTTCTTTTGGAATTTGGCTTGAATCCACTGGAAATTTAAATTACTACCTTTAATAAATATTTCCCCTTCTAGTTTACCTGGTTTAGTGTGTAGAAAGTAATATAAGCCACATTCGTAGATAGATGAAGAGCTGGTGGAATAACTACCACAAGCATCCTACATACATTTAGGTACCAGTAATAGTGAGAAGGCATTGGGTACATGATTGTTTTATTTACAGTACCCTACACAGTCACTTTCACCCAAAGTTTCAACATTGCACAACTAAAGTGCAATAAATATAAACTTGGAAACAGTCATGCTTAAATTGCAATATTAGTGTGTCTTAAACCTACATATTTGAAAATCTTAAATAATGTACATGTACCTTACTACCATGAGTGGAAAAAGAAATAAAACAAAGCTTTTGCATCTCCACATGATGAAGATGGCAGCAAATAATCCAAGATTCATGGCGCACATTACTTCTCAAGAACCCAGCCAAAAAAGCAAAATATAAGACCTAAAATAAGTGTTTTTACTCAGGCACTGCAGAGAAATATTGAGCTTAAAATTTGGGTTTGTTTATGTCTTGAGTTGCAAAGCACTGCAGACTGAGGGTCTAGAGTGCATGTATGAAGCCTATGACTATACTTAGGAACTAGGAGATGTGGTACATACAATAGCCCATTTCTGAATTACCTTTGGCCTCTCTTGTTTTTGTTCACAAGTAAATTGAACTCATTTTCATAGGAATGGTTGAGCACCAGGCCTAGCTTTGAAAAAGAGGCCAATTACATGTCATAAATAATTTTGTCATAGCAAGCTTCTGAGTGCACAAAGATATATATGCATTCAGTTCTACCATGGAAAAAGCTCATCTTGTACTTGTATTTACACGAGAGTGTGCATGCAATGTTTCTTCCACAAAATGTTGTATAATGTTCTAGTAATCAAAGCTCAAGGTTTGAGTATCTCCTCCTTCCAGAGTCAAGTGCTCTGCTGCAGCAGTCATTCCTCCAATGCCATCACCATTGTCCACTTTCATCTCATTAGCCATCTGGTTGTCTTTGGCCAATTGATGGAAATGCTGTTATGTGCAAGAAAACAGAGGATGAAAAAATGATTGGGGATGGGGGGGTGCAAAAAAGGAAAAGGATTGCTGATAAATTTTATTACCATCAAATGAAATTATTTTTTACTGACAGAAGATTTAATTTGAGGTGCAAATAGATGGAGACTAACTTGTCTTCCCCTGGCAAGTAGAGTAGACTTTTCAAGGGTTCAAAGAAAGGATTTATTAACACCCCATCCATCTACATTCTTTTTCATTACTATTATCATTTCATGGCAGGCATCATCCTCTTTTTACCCCTGCTCTCATTTTGATTATCTCTAAGCCCCTTGCAACCAAACATCAGTATGCATATTCTCCATATTGTTCTCCATATTTTTCTTAAGGCGCTGATTAGGGGAATTTGTTTAACAATCAGAAGCTTCTTCATTTGATGATCATCATTTCCTTTATTCCTGTGACCTTAATGTGTGATTCAGAGAAATTAGATGCTAGTCACCTGCTGGGGTCAAAGGGTCATTAGGAAATCTATATGCTGGTTTCCCAATTTTTTGAGCCAGCACAGTGAGATTCACCAAAAGCAGACTTCTTGTTTTACCAGAACTGTTTTCATGCAAAATTACGCATTCAAGAGTAAAGTTTAACAATCTGTCTAGTGACGCACCTGTGAGTTCTTGAACTCTGAGAATAGTGTAAACAGTACATGCATGGCATGAATCCTGTTATTGTGCACTGGTATATCAAGGATTCCTATCAGAAACACAAGTAAAGAAAATTAAGATGTAATTATAATCAGAACACTAAGACAGAAAATCTGCAGTGCTATGAAATTTATAGCATTATGTAGCCATAACAGTAACTACTATGTCCTGGCTTTACATCAAACATTGTGAAACAAAATTCAACAACTTACCACAAATAAGATCAACATATTGATGCAATTCCACATCCAAATCAGCTGTTGGAAGACCAACCTGTTGACAGAAGGACAGTCTGAGTAAAATTGTGTGTATGACCAGAAAGTGTTGAATCTCACTTAATATTACACATATTACAAAAATTTTAAGGACTCCTAACCAATGAATTCAATAAATTCTATTAAATTTTAAGTTTACCTGGTTCAGAAGGTCTTCAAATTCTGGTGGCCACTCTTGCATAAGAGATTCAATGTCAGGCATATTCCTAAGTTCATGAAAACAGAATATTTTAAATGACCAGTGAAAGTTATCCCTATACTGACCAGCTGCCTTTCTAAAACCAAATACCTCTGTCAAATAACTTCAGATAAAAGTCAATTACAATAATTGAAAATGGATTACACTGTGGTGCTCCCTCACAACCAGTTTACCACCTTACCTTTGATAATGGACTGTTGGAGCTGGTTTTTGACGATGCAATTCCCTGTAAAAAGAAGCATCCAAAATTGTTAAAACTATTACCTTGAATCAACATCATCCTCTTTAAATGTTTACACTCAGTAACTAGCATACATCCAAAAACAGGATAAGGACATTTACAACACCCAAAATTGTGAAGATTGAAGCACTATGTATTTCTTGAGTAAGAGGCTGCAAGGAGTCACAAAACACTACCAAACAAACAAACTACAAACAACAGAAGCACAATCCAAAAATCACATAACAGCAGATGTGCATCAGGAGAGGATTCAAAGAGATAAACAGGCATTCTTACCTGATACTATCGATCCAGTTATCAACGGCTTTAGGATTCTTTTCTGGATCTTCAATGCTGCGTACAGTCTGTGACAAACAAGGAGTGAAATGATTGTAGTATTATGTAGTAACAGACACTTGGGATTCAAGTCTTTGGAGAGCTGAAATGTTATGACTACTTCCTCAATTTAAAACAACATCATTTACATCATAGTTTCTGTATCTCAAATAATTAGGATAAATTTTTCGAATTTGTTCATCATTTGCAATCCATTTTATCTTCTCCATCCTTGCTTATTCCTGCCTTTCACATGTTCTTACATCAAACAAAAATTCTGTACTATCCACTAGGTTGGAGCTAATCATGCATTTTGCAAAAAAAAGGAGTCAAAGTGTCATGATATTGACAGCTTCTCTCTTAATTACTTTTCTCTTACAAAGAGTAAAGTGATAATGAAAAGTGGTAAAATGAGAGGGTATCAAATTCAAAATTATTGTCAATTATTGTTAACCCTTCACTCCCAGATCTTATTTAATTTAGTAATTCTCACTACTGTCTGCCATATTTTAGATTAGGATAATTTGGTATTGGATCAATTAATAATCCCCTAAAAGACATTTTTCTTCATCTATATCACTACAGTCTACCTAATATTGTATTGATATTGTAAGGACAAGCTATGTCTTAGTCACTAGTGGGGGTTAAAAGGTTTATCAAAAGACAAGCAATGTCCTTAACTGTTATAACCAAAATAATGCAATACAGCACATTTAAATCTAAAATATTGCAAAATACTGTCAAATCAAGAATGGACCCAGCAGTGCCAAATACATTTTACTTACCATGGCTTTTAGATTGGTTTGTTTGGAAATAGTTCTTAATTGAAGATCCAGCACTGAAATTGAAAGAGCTGACAATTAGAAGCTGACGTTGCAGTGTTGAGAATCATCAAAGGTTACCATTATTAATTATCATTTACTAGCTATCACTATTAGGATAATCATTAGTTTATTATACCTGTTGGGTCAGATTGATTAGCCATTGGTTCATCAAGAACCACCAATCCTAAAGTCTCTGGTTTACCATCTGGTCGTGTAACCTGCACAATTTGTGTAAAGAGCATTAAATAAGTTACTCACAGAGCACAGAGAACTTACATTTTCATCAGGTATTGGTTCTTCCTTTTTTGGATAGGTTACCTCCATGGAAAAACTCTGTTACCTTAGTTTATATAACATTCTTCTTTCAATAATTCCTTTTAAAAAACAAATTGCAATCAAGATTTTTTACTGAATATAAGGATACAATTCTGAATTTTACATTTGAGTTCAAACAAGCAGAGTGTTATCCTACACTTTTCCATAATGACTCTTTGAACTAGCGACAATATCATATAGCAGTGATCTCAATCCTGGTTTTCTAACCTTCAAGAATGCATCAATGTCTCCAACAGCAGGAATAAAATCAGGATTGAATGGCTTCAATTTATGTTCCAAATCAATTGATTGTGGAGTATACCTATGTAAACAAAAGGAATTTGAAACACAGTCACAAAGGAGCCATGTAATACTTTAATTGCAATAATTTTTAGAATGTTTTTAGCATAATTATAATCATTATTTATTAATAATGATGATATCTCCAGTGCTAAAAAGATTAATTCAGTTCTTCTTCACCAACTGAGACACTAAAATATGATAGACCATCATGTTCAAACAACTGAAGACAAAAGCCTGGCATGGTATCCTTCACCAGAACATACCGAGTGATATAGTGAAAAAGTTCCTTGATTTCCTGACTCACAGGTAGATGTTCGTAATCAGTTGGGTCATAGGCCCTGAAAGGATAAAAAAAAAAGCCATCACACCAAGAATTATCAATAGTAATATGGCTGATAACTCTTTGATTAGATTTTAATTGGGTTATAACTGATCTGATTTTTAGAAGATCTTACATACCAGTGTCAAGTGTTCACACCTACTCTTTTTGAGAGAAGAAGGAAACTAGCTTAAAACTCTAAAAAAAAGTACACCCAGAGAGTACATTCCTTTCTGAAAACAGCTTTTAAGCTGCTAATAAAATTCCTCATCTTAATTTTTGTCAAATTTATTGTCATACCCCTCCAGTGCAGTTCCATGCGCATCTTCCTCATCATCATCCTCCTCAGAGCTATCACTCTGGTCATCACCTTCATCATCATCATCATCTTCATTTTGTTGAGTAGGTATTTCCTGGCCAGTTGGTCTCCCAGGTCTCTCCTTAACCCCCTGTAAAGCCTCTTGTGGCCGGGAATATCCTCCTGCTGGAGGCTCCTGGAAAGAAAGGCATCTTGATCAACTATTAAATGTATATTTCATTGCAAACTAAGAAATATGCATCATTGATTAATTGTATAAATCAATAATACACTTAATTTTATCAACACTACTAAACAACCAATCTTAAATTGTCTTAATGCGAGGGCTATCACTTGACATCTCTCTATACCAACCTTCCTTTCAACTAGGTCATCATGGTCAAACTCATCATCACTCTGGTCAGTCATTGAGATGGATCCAATTCCTGTAAACAAAGTTAATATTTTTATAAGATAAACCTACTTTTGGCTTTAATACACAGATTTCAAAGTAAAGGGAAATATTAAACTTTTTTGTGCAGAGCAAGGAATAGTAACAACTAGAGTCCTGCTGGACAAGGTTTGTACTGTGAAGTGCATTCGAAATTTTATTCACATCACTGAGGATTATTCCCCATTGGAAAGGAAGATGTCTTAAAATGGCTGACTGTAAAAACTTTGATCTTGTCAAGTGATTTTTGATCATCAGCATTTTTTTTTAAATCATAACTTGTGTCAACCAAATTTCTCAGCTTCAGGATAACCAAATTCTTGTTGATGCTATGCTCTGTGTGCTCTGCTTGCAAATCTCTCTTGGACAGGCAATTTATAACGAATAGCTTTTTAAATGTAATGATTTTTCTCACCTGGATTATATCCACCAGATTTACCCCCTGCGGGTCTAGGACTTGGAGTAAATGTACTGGCTACTTCTTCGTCGTCGTTTACTTCAAGAGCTTCATCATACGGTTGATTCACGACAAGCTGCAAATCATTTACTTTCTTCAAAAGACTGCATATTCATGTGCAGAACGTAATGATGAATATGGTGTCTACATTTCATTTTGGGTAACCCATAATTCCCCTATTTGTGTTTCTACCAGAGCTTGCGACACAAACATCACAGAAATCCAGAATTAACTGTGCCGAATACGGATATTTATAACTCAAAGATGCGCTTTAAATGTGATTAGTTTGAGATAAAATCTAACTGACAAGGTCCAAAAGTTTTCCTCGTCATCTTACAGGAAGATGCAAAAATTTCACCTCACTTCGAGGAAATATAAAGATTACAAAACCAGTGTCCAAAATAAAACTATTCGGATAAAATTTAATTGGGATTTGTTCGTATCCAAGGACAACGTAATCTGATAGCGACTAAGCTGTACGTTTGGCATTATTTGAAAGATCTCCACATTTATAGGAACCACAACTCGACCAAAATTTCTTAATTTAGCATAAAAATAACAAGAAGTAAGTTTTATACTGTAAAGCATAACTACATAATGGTAAAAGCCGCAAACATCTTCTTAGTTTACCTTTCTTCGCTCGTCATCTGAGTCAGCCATGAACGAAACAACCCACCAAGTTCCTGACCGCTTACATGACGTGCTTATCCCGCTAGACTACTTCTTCCCAGACCTCCACGTGAACTGTCACGAACATCACTGGAAATCCATCATTTCCTGTCATTACTGATCATTCAGCTCCACTCGCCGCAACCAGACACCATTCACCCTCATTTGCAATCACTGCTCATAATTAGACGTTAATCTAAACTTGACACAAATTCCAAAAATACAGCTGTTTTATTTTCATACTGTATCAATAACATTTCTTATTTCATAAATTTTTATACTAAGTCTGATGTGACCACTATGAATTCGGTAAAATAAAGAACATATCAAGTCGATGCTGAACACTTTTGCAAATATCATATTCTATAACACAGAAAAAATTTCTTTACATGTCTAGTCGATCACAAAACTTTTTAACAACGATCAAAATACGTATAATATTTTTTAAAATTCAACTGGAACTTTGGTCAGATTAACTAACCGACAGAAAAAGGCACTCGGAAGCAAAATATTATTTCTCATACCCTTTAAAATGTAACAAGAACGAGCAGAAGATTTAAAAACAGATCTGTTCGGTTCAAACCTGGGTTGAGTTCAAGCTACAGAATACTTAGACGTTAAACAACAAAACAAAATAACTAAGGTGTGGTGCCATACGAGAGAAAATGTTTTCATATCTCTTCTCATCCATGTTATTTTTCATCTTATCAAAGGTGTAAACCAGTAATGGTAAGGCCGTAATGAAGACGAGAGATATGAATATCTAAAAAGAACAGGTCAAGTCTAAAAGTCCATGAGTGTTCTAACGTCTCGAATTCTCTGTTGTCGTCTATCTTCTGCAGTTGATTTGGTATTAAACGCTCCTGCCATCAATTCCCTCTTTTTCTTCTGAAGTTCAAGCATACGTTCTTCCACAGAGTCTTTCACAACGAACTTGAAGACATAACATAAACAAGAGAGTGCGTTAGATGTTTGTTATTAAGAGGGATTTACATTTGTCACAACATGGACAATATTATGGAAACTACTTAATCACGAGCCTGTGTGGCAGTCTTTTTTGTGTCTTTCTAGCCAACCGGAAGTTGCTCGGAAGAATAGAAGAAAATCCAGCAAATGATAAGAAGAGCGGTTCCTTCAATCCGCCCCCTCCAGAGGTTTTCCGAGCTAAATGGGGTAAACACTTTACAACGGCGAGGAGGAGGAGATAAGTTTGCAGAGAGAGCATGCTGACAAATTTGAGATGCTCACGGCAAAGCGCAGAGTGCGAGTGGAAGAAGGTGGAAGGAAAAGTATTTAATACGGCCTTTTCTCTCCTTCCCATAACTCTGTTAACCCCCCCCCCCTTACTTTTCTCAAGGACTAACAATTCCTAGATGATTGCCTCGGACTATGGATAAGGTAGTCTCCTACCATCTCAACGCTTACTTAGCTCGCTTTTACTCCATGTCCTCGCTTGGTTCACCATTCTACAGCTTGGGTCAACGAAAAAAGAAAAGACTGCTTTTTCGGCTATTCCTATCTTCAGGAGATAATCTCGCAAGTGGTAGATTTCTAAATCAGAGTAACGTCTTAGATTTTTGTTCATACTGATAGACAGCCAGACTCTCTTACTGCCCTGAAAGACAAACTGAATAACTAACCGACAAAGTAGCCTCTTCATTTACCTTAGTTACTATAACATCCTCGGTCTGTCCTAATCTGTGGCATCTGTCGAAACACTGATCCTCAGCTGCAGGATTCCAAGCCTGAACAACAATGATAAGAATTCAACTTAGTCAGGTATTCAAGTAAGTAGGGAGTGCCAGGGATAGAAATAGAATTATCGATACTGACATTCGTTTGTATCTCAATAAAACGTTTTGTTCCTTCAATGTCATGCGCGGTATAGAGAAAACACAAATTCTCAGATGGAAAAAAAATACAATAAAACACCGGAAAACTAGTGTAAAATTTATCCGCGAAACAGCCAATGTAACCAGACACGCATATCAGCTGGGTAGTGTTACCTTGATACAACACCAACTTGCCTACACTAATTTATCAAAAACAGTTGAAAACCGCATCTTTTTCGACAGGCGTATGACAATTTTTTATAGCTACTAATTGTATTTCAATATTTTACATTTAATTTTATGCTACTGATGTGCTTATAAATTTTGTCTTAAGCTTTATAATTTTATTTTACTACGCACACTGTGTAAAGCGCTTTTGGACTTTTAAGGAAAAAGTGCTATATAAATGATGATGATAATGATGAGGATGACTATTGTGATTACTATTATGATTATTATTATTACGATTATTGTTATGATTATTGTCATTACTATCATTATTATTAAGAACTTCACAGCAGTGAGAAGGAGAATTACTGATCAAATACTGAGTTTAAAGGGTCAACATACAGGGTCAAGAAGGAAAACTCTGGAAGCTGCCGTCAGGTTCAGTCCAACACCTCCAGCCTTTAGCGACAGCAGCATCACTGTAGGTGAGTCAGGACCTCGGTCATCAAATAATTCTATTACTTCAGATCTTTTCTTCTGCGACATCTTGCCATCCAATCGAACAAAGTTAAACCCTTCTGCTTTCAGTGGCGTCTCAACGATGTTTAGTAGGGACGTGAACTGAGAGATGACCAGACTTTTCACTGAGGGATCTTCTTTTCTGAGCTTTGTCAGGAGAGACATCAGTGTGTCAATCTGAATGAAACAAACACATACCATGTAGAAAACTGCGAGAGTGGGTAAGATGAATCAAATTCTGTTGTACGATTTGCCCTCTTGGAGGAGAGAGGAAGTTTTCTGGCTGTTTATACAGCAATGGAGTCACAAAACACTAAAAACTTGGGTCTTTAGGGAAGTCCAAACAATGGTTAAAAGCAAAAAGTAAAATAGCAAATCCTTAAGTGTGATCTTTTGGCCACATAACAAATCCTTTACTGATAAACTTGCTCTATGAAGATGGCCGAATTATTATCAGAGTCGAATTTATAAACAGAGACAAAGGTAAGGCCCGTGAAAACGAGAAAAATGAAAAACGTATATATCATGGCCCTTCTTCCGTCATCTTGTGCGAACAAGCTTGGCAAATGACAAAGGCGTTATGAAACCTTTGAACTGGAGTGCCACTCTTCAGACCCGTCAATTTCTTCTACATCCTCCGTCTCCGGTGGGACTTCTACCAACACATCCTGGCTAATGTTACCGCGGCAAAGAGGACAACGAGGGTTCACGGCTGTCGTCTTGATCACATCTTCTATGCATCTCCGGCAAAAGACATGGGCACAGTGGGTTATCACTGGGGTTGAGAGTGAGTCCAGACACACGGGACACTCCTCATCAGCCCCTGAGCTCAGGAGAGTGACAAGGGTGGATATCAGCTTCTGGCGGAGTTCCTCCGGTGTGGAGCAGCCTTGAGGATGCAACAAGTAAGTCAGAGTGATTGGAAAAGACGCAACTATAGCAGGGCATAACTCTGCCGGGGGTTATGAGGGGGCACCAGAGGGAAACTAGCGGAATGCTAGGGGGGGGGGGCCGGGTAAAGGGGGTTATCCCGCAATAAACTAGCATCTCATCCACGAGGAGTAGCAACACTCCTAGTCGCTTAACCCTTTCACTCTTACATCAATATGTTTATTCTCCAAACTGCTCTCTAGACATTTCCTAAGGCACCGACAACGAGAATTTGTTTGACAATCATGAACTTCTTAAGTTTGCGATCATCTTCCTTATTCTCATGACCATAATGTTTGACGCAGCAGCGATACTATAAGGAGAAATTAGATCCCAATCACTCTTCAGGATTAAGCTGTTAATCTTGAAGAAACCGGAGTCAGTGTTGTATGCAGACTTAATCCTCGACCTTCTGTAAACATTGAAAACAATGATGGTTCATGCGCTTCTTAGTAACGCACATAACTACTCAAGTACCGATTACTGTTTATCAGAATCTACATGCTGCCAGTAATATAAACGGGGGTTCAAGTTCATGATACAAGTTCTAGGACACTTGAGAATCACGGTGCTTACCTTCTTTTGAGGCCAGCGCAGGCGCTGTAGCGCAAAGCTTAGGGTGACAACAAAGCTGTCTGAGCCGCATAAGAATCGCCAACACATCAGCATAATTCTGAAGTACATTTCCAGTCTTGAAATATCTATAAAAACATAATAATAGTAAAGACTTCGGTTGAAATCAGTTCTGTGATCAAACTCCAACTGCGAGCACCAGTGGGACAAAATTATAATGGCGCTGCTGGATAACTATAGGAGATGGAATTTTAACAGTTCTTCTAAATTCGCTCACAAACCTTCGCAATCATTACGAACCTTAACCCAGTCTCCTTGTGGTAGGGCGCTGATACACAGTTCATTCACGTTACAAATGAACAGTAATCCACGAAAAGTCTACAATTTTTAAGCCACTTACTTGCCAATAACAAGTTTTCCCTCTCTAGCCATGGAATCGTACAGCTTTCTCTCCTCAAGTGATAACTCCACAGGCTGCACAAACACTTGTCTGTCCGGTAGTTCCACCAGCGGTTTTCCATTCACTTGTTGTGTCTTAGTGCGCCTCAGTGCAATACTTCCCATTAGTGACTGCAACCGGCTTTCAACAAATAACAACAAAGTTTGAAAATATGGATTTTCGATTGCGCATTTCCCGATGTTCTGATGCGCTCTAAAACACTGTGCAGAGGTCTTTCATTAGACTTCAAGAAGCAGTTTACAAAGGGTAGAAAATTTTTGCAGATGCCCAAGATTTAGGAAACAAGGCAACACCACATCATCGTGAGTTCCATAGACCATAGTTCCATATGGTCTTTTTAGTGAGCACGCGAACGATGTTTCTAACTGATCTTTCACGATTGCTTTAGTGTAGGTTCTTCGACGTAAGATCCGAACCACACGTGCCCAAATGCCAAATGTTTGAATACCCGTCAAGAAAACTGCACCGAGAACAAGAAATCGAGGTATACAGGTAACATGGTTGCCACAGCCATAGGTGTTTGAAATTCCCTGACTTTTCCCTGACTTTTCCCTGACAAATGTAAAATTTCCCTGACCAACTGAATT